TGGAAAACAGTGCTGAATGCATCCCTGTGCAATTACATTTCAGTTAAAAACTTCTTACAAAGGAAGGAATTGCAGTTTTTCAAAAGTCAATGTAGTTTTCTTTGTGGTGCACTTTCGGGTTACGCTTGCTTTATCGCAGATCTGATTAAGAATCTCTGTTTTCTTTCCGCTTTTATGTTCAATTTCCATATCCTTTCACCCTTCTAATAGCACTTGAATTTCTCGTGATACATATGTTTAAATTAATGCCAAAACAATAGCCCCATTTTTTCCTTAATGCCATGATACCAGATACGTGGAACAAAAGTAGGTAATTTGTACCCTGACCATATTTCCAACATACATAATGAGGCAGCAAAGCTGTTTAGATTTAATGAAACTTGGGAGAGATCTTTCAGCCTTTGTCTTGGAGACAACACGCATGTATTCTTGACTTGACAAGCTTCAACTGCAGGGCATGTTTAGCAGCTGCTAATAAACATATGGCATAGTGCCACTGTTCAAGTGCGAAAAGGAAATTGTAGGTGTTAAGACAGTAAAGCAGTGGAAATTTCTATAGGTCTGTTGGATATTACACTCGTGAAGAAATGAGCGACGATTTCAGTTTATTTTTGGGATACATTTAATTTGTAATGCCAAAATACATCACAAGTGGTTGCAGCTGCTGTAATTCAAGGGTATTGAGCTGTCAGTTGGTGCTTCTTTCTAAGACAAAAATCTTGATTCCTTTTTTTTTCTAGTCTGTCTTTTAAAATAATCTGTCTCCATATTAAAGCTTAAGGAAAGATATAATCAGCTTGAAACTACCTTTGTTTTTTTAGTAAACAGACTGTTGTGTTGCAAAAATCTTAAGAAACAAACACTTACTGGGAAATCACTGCAAAAGATTTTAATTCTGTGATGAATTTAGATCCACGAGATGCAGATTTATTGGCTGCTGGGGTTCCTCCCCTCAAAACTGCTTCTTAAAACATTTTCTCTCTGGACATAATTTGAAGCTGAGCTTTGGAAATACTGCCAGAAAAGCTTTCTCCAGCCTAATAGGCATGTTGGTTTAAAGCAGAAGCTCTCCAAAAGGAGGAAGGCCTTTGATGTGTTATTTTTTCCATGTGAACTGTAATTGTTTGCTTTGTATGAGCAGTGATGAATAGAAGTCGTGCTTCAGATGTAAAAGTTACATTATAGTGTTCTAAGTTAACTTCTTGAATTACTCTTACCAGAGCAAAAAAGTTGAGGAAGTCAGGCCTTCAGAGTAAAGACTATCATTTACTGTATTTCTATATAGTGTTTTTTACCAGACCTGAAACTACTCAATTGGATGTTGGGCACTTAATGGAACAGTTTTAAATTGCTGAGTTTTCTGTGAGTGATGCTGTGGCGTGTAAAACGGCAGCAGAGCATCATGTGTGCAACTGATAGGATTGTCTTTTGAGATAATTTTCCGCTGTAGCTGCACGTGCTTAAGAAGTTCCTGATAGCTCGCTTTTGTTAGAGGATCTGTTTTGCAGGGTAAGAATTGATTTGGGGGCATAGGGAAGCTGCTGTTGAGTAAGGTGTGGTAATGGGGAAGGGATTAGAAAAATGTGGCATAGCTACTTTTCATATACATACAGCTGAGATGGAATCTATGGTTAGATTGGGTTTGGTTTTGTTTCTTTCCCCCCACCCCACCCCCCACTGTTATTGCTCCCAGGAGACAGAGTGTGCTGATGGTACAGGAGGAGAAAGAAAAGCAAGTTTCTAGTAGCCGTTTTTGATCATCTGTTTCTGCTCCTGTTAGCTTTTAGGCAAGTTTAATTAGTGAATTATACATATGAAATAGTCATTTATCTTTGAGTGTATTCAGATGAGTCTAACTCATTGAAACTGAGCACAATGTTAGTTTCCTTGAGCAGTCTCTGTTCTGTTAGACCGCTTCTTAATCTCACCTACAGAGAGAAGCTTTTCAGATTTACAATGCTGTAGATTCCACAAATAAGACTGAAATAGTCCAGGTTTTTATTCTAGATTTCTTATCAGCTTTTGTTAAAGGATAAGGTGGTTTGGTGTTGAGATAACTTAGGTGACAGGAATATTTGGTCTGTATTCTGAAAATATAATTGATATGTAAGCAAATATCATTAGTTTGTCGTTCTCATCAGAAAAACAGTACCCTTATGTTGTGCTCATGGCACATCATCATAAGTAACAGAAGCTCAAATATACACTTCTTAAAATTTTCTGTAATTATTTTCTGCGCCTTACCTCCTATTGAACTGTATTGTACTTTTTCTGTACAAAGGGGAGATGTTTAAAACTCTCCAAGGGATGTTCATTTTTTTTCCATTTTTCTCATAGTAAATGTTAATTGTACTTGTCACACTTGGTTTACGTAGGCTTGATAACTGTTCAGATGTCAGGGCTTTCATTTCATTTGAGGTGTGGCATTAGTGTTAGCTACTTCCATAGCAGCAGTTAAACAGTTTTTTCAAATATTACAGTTAGTTTTAAAAATATTTATGCACCCATTTCTGTAAAGCTGTAATATTGATCTCTTTCCCCCAACACACACCCCTGTAGCTTGGACATTAGCTGATGATGTCTCTTATTTTCACTCAGCCTTCTGGTCTTTTCACAATGAAGATTTCAGTCTTGTGTTTCTGTAGCGCATTTGTGATCTGCAGCTCCTTTTTACCATGCTAGCTTGTCATTTTCTTGGGAAAAGAAAATACTGTAAATCTTGATTTCTTTTTTTATCAGCTTGATTGGATACATACACATACTCAGTTAAAACGTACTCTATCTCCATTCTTTAATCAGACATTTGTAAAAAGAAAAGAACTGCTGCAGATTATTTTTAAATTTTATGTGATGTTTAATGTGTTCTCAGATAATGAAATTGTCAGCTATCATAGCATCTACCTAACATTTACTGTGTGAGATGCAAGTCACCGATGATTGACTTTGACTGAGTGACAACACTTATGAGTACGGTAATTTCCATCTTAATCTGATCCAAAGTCAGTGTAATTGGTGTTTTGAAACTACGTGGTGCTCCATTGCTGGAGTGACAGAAAGCTAGTCCAGATCTGAAATCTGCTGAGAACTTAAAGAATGGTAGACTCAGTTGTTACACATGTGGGATGTGCTTTCTGTTTCAGGGCTCCGATCTGGGGGAGTACTTGGATATGTCAGAGAGCATGCAGAAGAAATTAAGCCGAGGTTGGACAAAAATCTGTTGCTTGCTTTCACATAAAAGCCTAATTGCTTTTATTTCTGCCTCTTCACTGATGTGTTTTTCTGAGAAGGGTAGAGATTTAGAAGCAACTTGAATGTGACAGCAAACTGAAATTTCTCTGCAGAAGATGCTGAAATGGTACAGTGTCTGTTTTGGTTATACTGGGCATTATTTGCTGCTTGTAGATGTAAATACCATTTTAGAGGATGTAGTTACAGCCTCAGTTGTCATCCCAGTCATCCACACTGGGATTATGACTTGAGGTGAGTACTGATTTAATGCATTAATTCCTGTGTGGTAGAAAGTGACTTTTTTTTTATATAGCTGGTTTATGTCGTAGTCCCAAATGAAGGGTAGTACTTTTCTGCAACATATATTTTAGCCCCAGTATAGATTATGGGCTCATGACTGCATTAACATTACCTCGTTAATATTGATTTTGACCTGTAATGTTGAGGTAGTCGAGCTTTAGTGATACCTCTGGCCCCCAAATCTGTGAGTTGTTCTAGAAAATAAGAAGAGAAAATAATGACATAATTTGCAAAATCTGATCTTCTCTCATCCTAAACCGTATTGGAGACAGCCAGTTTTGAACTGCCCTTATTTGCTAGGGAAGGAGAGAGAGTCTTAGAGGTCCAGTATAAAACAGACTCTGTCATCATCACATGCTCTTGATGGCAGCATGTATCAATCAATATAAGTATGGTCTCGAATATGCCAGTCTGTGGTGTTTTCTGCTTTGTTCTAGCTGCTGCTTTGTAGCAGCTCTGAATCATCATTGTCTAAACATGAGTTATAAGCTTTCTAAATGCTGTAAAATCCAGTTCAGGTCTCCTGTTTCTTATCAGCCTCTTGCTGAACTAATCTTCAGTAACAACCAATTTCTTGGTGTTGGACTCTCTGATACTACTTTTAGCAAAATTTTCAGGTCACGTTTGAGATCATGTCTTAGGTTGTAGAGAGGCACATAAGTACGTGCTGTCTGTGTAGTGTGTACTAGTTAAAGGTGTTGCTGCTAGAAAGTTTCAGGGAAGCTTGATTCAAGAAAGTCTTGGTTAAATAATGTAGTGGAAGCTTAAGTTTTGTTTGGTCACCTGCAGTGTTCTGTCCACTTGTCATGTAATACACCTATTTAATCCTAAGCCTGCCACAATTAGAAAATAAAGAGTAAGTGCTTAATTTGTAGAACTGTATAAGAAATATATCTGCTATTATAACTAATTCAGTAATATGTTTTCTTTAAAATATGAGACAGATTGGGAGATAAAGATCTAATCTTCATGTATTCATCTCTCAGCATGAGAAAACGTTGAATCAGTTATCAACGTTGTACTTGCCCATTTAAGTGGAGGTTTCTAGGGAAGAATGGGGGGTTGGGTATGTGAGAACCATTTAGTTAAACCTTTGGAAAGAGAGAATCCTGAATCTTTAAAGTATGTGGGTTAAGAAAAACAAGTACTTCACACTCAACTAAATATTTTCTTACCTTTGGCCGAAATGTCACTTCCTTTGCCCTCAAGGTAATTCTGCTAGTTCTGGTTTTGTTCCAAATTTGGGGGCGGAGGGAGCAGAATGAGATTGTGATTCTTAGTTTTTAGAAATATTTTTTTAAATTATATATTCCTGCCTGCCTTTATGACCAAGAACATAAATAAAATAAAAAAAAATCCTTCGAATAACATCATCTTCTTAAGTTTATTTTCATATCCTTATTATAGTGTTGGAGGACTAAGGAGAGCATTCATTAAGAGCTAATTATGGTTGTGGTTTTTTTTAATTGCAGGAGTCAGAGTTACCATCAGAACTGAATAATGAAGGATACTGTGATTTTAACAGCAGGCCGAATGAGAACTCTTACTGCTATCAGCTCCTGCAAGAGCTCAACGAGCAGAGGAAGAAAGGCATTCTTTGTGATGTTAATATTGTGGTGAGCGGGAGGGTCTTCAGAGCTCACAAGAACATCCTGGTTGCAGGCAGCCGCTTCTTTAAGACTCTGTATTGCTTTACAAACAAAGAAAGCCGTAACCAAACCACTGTTACCTATTTAGATGTTGTTGCTGTTCAAGGTTTTTCTGTCATCTTGGACTTCTTATATTCTGGTAACCTCGTGCTTACGAGCCAAAATGCCATTGAAGTGATGTCAGTGGCCAGCTACCTTCAGATGACGGAGGTTGTCCAGTCCTGCCGCAACTTCATTAAAGATGCCTTAAACATAAGTATAAAATCAGAAGCTCCAGAGACCGTGGTGGTGGATTACAACAGAAGATCTGTTAGTAGGGATGGTTTGTCTCCAAGGGATCAGAAAGTTGCCAGCTTCTGGGCAACGAGAAATCTTACCAACTTGGCAAGTAGCATAAAAACTGAGAATGATGGTTACCCTATTGATGAGGGCCAAATGGAAAGCTACCAAATGAATGACTGCAGTTGGGTCCAGGACAGCTCACCTGAAATGGCTGAAAATGAATCTCAAGGTGAGGGAAAAGTATTCGTATGGAATGACATGGGCGCACAGGGACAATCAGTTCAAGAACCTGGAAAAGCAAGAAGGAAAAACCAAACTGCAAAGAGATTTATTTATAATATACCACCTAATACTGAAGAGAACTCAGAAGATTGCTCAGTGTTGCAACCGTCAGTCCCATATCCAGAAGAAGATTTGTCATTTATTAAAGAAGAAGCAGGTAAATATTGCTTAATGTCAGTCATGTAATTTGAAAACTGAATTATTGAATAAAGTACACGACAATGTAACTTTTATAAAGGTATGTTGGATGGGATCTTCTAGTAAGTCAGCACACCAATCAGGTTACTAAATCAGTCATCTGATTCTCTACCTTGGGGCACAGCAGTGTATCTTCAGCTAGAGAAAGGAATGACAGTGCTGTGTCATGCAGTATGTAACAGGCTGTTTGCATTTGAGGCTTGAGGTGGGGATCCTTACCAGCTTGTAGAAACTCAAACTCTTACATTTATGTTTAATCTGTAGCCGCTATAAGGCACAAAATCAAGAAGTGATAACTGGTGGCTAATGATGTTAGCTGGTTGCACAGAGAGAAAAGGGCCTTTATAATTTCCTTCACTACACTAGCACAAGATTTCTCGAGTAATCTCCCTCACCTGAGTGTCGCCCAGAAACAGAAGTGACCTTTCTGCTGCTGTTTATTGTAGGGGTGTCTGTGAAGCTGCAAAATTGAGTAATCCTGGCTAATATAATAGAAACTCTTAAAGCAGATTTGTGAAGCATATTGGAAAGAGGTGACACAATGACATATGGCAGAGGGAATATCTTTTTGTTGAACTGTTGTTTAAATGAATCCTGAGTATGACTGAATTCATAGGATTTTTTTTCCTTAAGGATTTATGGTTAATGTAAATGCTAGAATAAGATTAAATATGTTTGCTAAACAAATACGGTCACACAAAGGATTGTAAGCAGACTGTTCTCAGTGTGATTGGGATTTGGGGCAATGTAATTAAGTTCCAGTATTTATTTTTTAAATTATTGTAATTATACTGTATGAATAGTTGAAGTATATATTTGAAGTACTGTCATTTACCTGTATCACTTTTAAATGAATTAGCAGTTTTGAAAACTTACCCCAACTTAGGAGTCAAATTAAAGGTGGCTTTGAGACGTAACTGGAACCAAGTTCTTATTAGATGTGTCTGTTCCTAAAGCATTTTAAAATATATGCCCCCTTCAAACACCAAGGGACTGTGGATGTCCTCTGCTTAACAGGTTCAAGGAGTAGAATTAAGAGGGAAATAAAACAAACAAACAAAAAAATCAGCACTCACACCTGTGGGTATAGAATATTTCTGGATATTTTTGTATTGCAGTGAGAAAACAGAGATTTGAAAGCAACCTGAGTTGTGGGAGGGTCTGGGAACCTATATTTACTTTGGTGGAAGGAAGGATGGCCTTGGTTTCTTCCTGTACCCTGAGACTTGTTTAAAAACAAGTCTGAAAGCAATCCTTTCAGTAGTGGCAGGGACAGGCAGTTTCTCCTGGGGCCCCAAAGTGCCCCTATGCACGGTGCGTGGGTGCCCACCCGTGTGGCAGCAGCAGCAGCAGCTGCTGCCGCGCGAGGAGGCAGGCGGCGGGTGGCAGCCCGGCTGAGGGCATGTGGGACTCCGTGCTCTCCTGTACCGTGCCAGCATGCATGCATGAGCACCATAGTGATGTGTGACGATATAGAGCACTGCAGAATGGAGCTACGGATGTGCCCATCTGGCGCATGAGCAGGGGCAGCCAGTATGAGATCTGTCCATATAGTTAGTAAGTGGTGCGGCACAACAGGAGCAGCTCTGGAGAAGCAGCTGTGCTGAGGAGCTAACGTGCATTCTGTAAATGCTTCAGGGGGTTTGCTTATCTCTGGTCTTCACCTCTGAACTCTGTGGGTAGGTCTGCTTTAGCTTTGCAGTTCAGCTTGGGAGTGTGCACTTGTAAAGTGAATTTTCTGGTCTTCTCTTACTTTCTAAGCTTTCTTAGACTGCACAGGGTTTCTTCTGGCTGAAGCGAAAATAGCAGCTGTGTTTCAGAAAGATGCCTCTTGTGTGCCAACTGCTAACAGGCCTTGGGTCCACAGCACCAGGTTAGATCTAGCCTTAAGTAAAGCACCTTTAGGTGTGAATAGTGGGGATGTTGAGTCCTCAGCACCCACGCAACAAATCTGCCTGTGCTGGGTTGCACTGCTTGCTAATACATGGTTAGTTGCAGTGGCCTGAAAAAGGGCAGCAGAGGGTCTGGAGCAGGAGCTGAGGACCTGTAGGTTAATTGCAGAAACATCAAATTTCTGACACAATTTAGCATGTGATTTCTATTTCTGATTTATATGGGGTAAATATTCAACTTCTTTTACTGTTGGAAATACCACGGAGAATATGTCTACTAAACGATATCCCCAGCAACAGAAATATATACTTGATTGCATTCTGCAGAATTCGAGTATGTGCTGTGGAGCTTTCTTGGAGAAATAATGGAGGATATGGGCAGTGAAGTAATGATTAAACAAGTTTAGTCCTTGTTCAGTTTTCTTGGACAGAAGCACCAAGGTTTCCAGTAACTCGTTGTGCTAAAGAATTAAATTACAAAATACATCCATGCAACATCTTGATGAACAGAGCTATATTAGAGGCTAGGGGCACACTGAATTTGTGCTGTGGTGTCTGTCTAAAACCATTGAAAGTTCTGATTGCAGGGGGGAGTTTATTTTATTGAAGTATAAAATAGTGTCAGCTAATGATCTTAGTACTTTCAGAGCACAACATAAGTGGTCCCAAGTAAATACTTACATTTTCTGTCAGCGTGAGAACTATTTTGGAAACCATATCTAATATTTTTATAATAAGATGTTTACTTTTATCAAGTTTTTGTGTGCATGCACATTGTTTGAAACAAGAAGAGATACTGGAAGTAGGGCTTGGTATAGCTTACTTTCACCCTTAGTCTGTGCTTCAGTGTTCGGTGTTCTTTCTCCTCTACTGCTGGCTAGCTTTTTCTTCACTCTGCAGGTAGATTCCACTCATAAACACTCTTCTTTCGATTGTTCCCTCTAGGCCTCAGAAAAGGTGGAAGAGGGAGGAGTGGAGAATTGGAAGAATGACAGGAATGAGTTGTAGAGTAACCTGCGGGTTACACGGTAACTTTTTAGTTGTGGATTAAATTTCTTGTGGAGATGAAAAACTATCAAAACCAATAGGCGCTGGGAGTTAAAAATGCATAAGAAAATGTCTTCTGGAATAGATATAAGACAATGCTGTGAGAAGAAAAAGAAAGAATAGTAAATTTTTATGATGTAAGCGAAGGAGTGCGCTGTCCCTTTGGTTGCTAAAAGGGAAAGAATGAGCTTCTAGTGTTACGCTTTGTCATGTGCTGCTGGGGATAACCAACACCAGATGAGATGTCCAGTTACATGCAAAGTGAGTTGCTGTGTCTTTGATTATAGTTTTGAGTTGTCTGGTGTTTTTATGAGGGGAAAGAAATACCATTGATACGGTGGAAGGGAAGCCTATTTTAAGAACACTCCTCGCACTACAAAAATTTACCCCAAAAGCCACTGCCTTGAATTCTATAGTAAATGGACTTTCTATTTGTGTACTGCTAGGTAAGTATTAGATAATAAACAGTAAAAGGTTTCTGAACTATCTGCTACTCCTCTTGTCCCAGTAAAGCAAACGTTAAACTGCTCCTTGCCAAGTGTGAGTTTTCCTACAGGTATCCATAAGGATATGTCAGCTTCTCCTTCCTCTCACCCTGCATTACCAGTGAGTTTATATTTAACACCTTCCCTGTAAAAGCAGCACTTTAGTGAGCTTCAGAAAAACTCCATGAAGTTGAGATGGATTTTAAATTGCATGTACTGTCTTACTTCGTTTACCTACTCTTACTGAAGCTTTCAAGCCTTCTCCAGTTTTAGCTATATTAATTAAAATAGCTGTGTTTCTTCACACTGAGTGTTACCGCCTATCTTATTATTTTCCTTTCTAGTTGATAATCTGCTGGAAAATGTCTTTACTGTTTACAGCCATGGTGCATCCTACAACTGAGCATTTACCATGGTGAAAGTAACAGTGCAATCAGTCAGCATCTCTTAGTCAGTTTCAAGTTCATAAAAGCCCAGTGATTCTAATTCATCATATTTATAATGTCTGTTCATGTTTTTTTTTATAGACTTTTGTCACTTTTTGAATTTGTTTTTCATTTGGGCCTGTTTTTTTTGGAGTACAAATATCCTAGCCTCAGGCTTCAGAACACAACTGTGAAGTATTGCTTATGCTTTCCAGAGGTGACGTGTTGATTCTTAAAAAGACTTGTACGTAATATCCCAGTAACTTTATGAAGCTAGCACTGGATTATTTGTTACTGTGATTTTCAGGCTAGATAGTGCTGTGTCATATATTGTGGTGGGGGTGGGGGTGAGGGAAATGATAACAAGGCCAGGATGAAAACAGCCCTTTTGTGGAACAAGAGGGTTCCTGAATGATTTTTCTAGGGTTTCTTAAGGAATTTAATTCAGCTTGCTGTAGAAGCAACTACTTTTCAAAATGATAGAAGCAGTAGCTAAACCTGCTTACAAAAATGTAGTGCTGGTCACGATTTTCCTCATGGCGTGAGGGAGCAGCATAACACAACTTGCTCCGGACTTTACAATGAAGACAGGTAACTTTGTATTTGAAGAAATCAAAATTGATGGACTTACCTTGACATGTATATATTTCTTGTAGGAATGAACCCCACTTGACTGAGCTACAAAGAAAGAAACAAAGATTAGTGTAAGAAAATTAAGCTTTTGTTTCTTGCTCTTCCATGGTACTATAAGTCTCAGTCACATCTTCCTCAGATCTCCAGCTGATACCCTGATCAAAATTTTTAAATTGCTTAATGGGCCTTTAACCTCTTTATTTGCCCCATGCCCTATGTAACCTGGTATTGAAGGCCCCATAGGTTTTTAGAAGTCACTTAAAGAAAGTACAACATCCGGGGGTTAACCTCTTCCCCATTCATTAAATTTATCTGTCCCGGGGATGATCCGAAAGACAAGTAGATCCTCACATTCTCATGGTATGGTCAAACACTGACCTTGCAACTGTAAGCAATGTTCTGCATATTACTGTTGTGTTGGGGCTTTTTATTTAAACCAAAAAAAAAAAAAAAGGCAAGCGAAGTGGATGGTTGGGGAAGAAGGTTATGTGGTGTCTACAGACCTTTTCGGCCTGAAAAAACTTTTTTTTTTTTTTGTCTCTGCACAATTGAAGCACAGGCAATACATTCCCTTTTAAAAAAATTATCAATCTGAAGTGCTGATTTGATTTTTCTGCTACCTCATTTATGAAATAGTGATGATGATGGCAGCAACTCCATAAAGAAAACCAGGGGCTGTGTGTGTTCTTGATTCATTTGGGAGGCATAACTCCAGCCACAGAAGTTAGCTGTGCTATTTCTTCAGCTAGCTTCCCTCCTGCATCTCAAAGATGTAGCTCAGTAAGTCAAATCTAATTCATTTTATCACATGCTGAGCAGTGGAAGTGTTTTTACTCCAGATGTTTCAGATCCTTGTGGATTGTAGCTGATTTTCCGAGTAGTGTGGAGCTTTTTTAAACTATCACGAAGATTAGAATACAACTTCCTTTAAAAAGCTTTCTTTCCAAATAGTAATTACGCAAGAAAGTAAAGTCTTGTTTTTATCCACAGCCCCCTTATCTCCTACGTGCTTGTCTTCACATGCCTATCCATTCCCGTATGATATTTATGAAGCTAAAAGGCTGCTAAAAGACTTTAAAAATATCCCTTATGCCTTAACTAACATACGGTACAGAGAAACAATGTTAGGTTTCTTATTTAACCTGTTTTCTGCATTGGTAGGCCTACTCAATTCAGTTACATCACCAGAACTCCCTGTGAGAGCACTCTTATGCTAGAGTGACTTTGTCACGTAAGAGTTTATGGAAGTATAAATTGATCAGTTGCTGTGCAGTTACTCTGGGTGTACAAGTCTTAGTGTGTTGTGTGGTTTGGGGGTTTGGTTTGGGGTTGGTTTGGGATTTTTTTTTTGTTTGTTGGGTTTGTTTGTTTGTTTGTTTGTTTTTTAGATTTCAGGGAAGGGATAGGTCATCCTCAGTGTTGGTACCTGAGTAGAATAGGTTTTAAGTGGCACGTAGTTTGACTAAAAGACAGTTCCTTCAGCTTCTGTTTTTCAGGTTCTCTGTCCTTGCTGAGTTGTTTTGCTTGCTGCCCAACCATTTATTCTCTGCCTACATTCTGGAATTCTTTTTGGGTCATTTTTTTGGTCATTTTTTGGGGTGGAGGAGAGAGGCAGGCAGCATTTCTTACTTGTGCCAGTTTCTGGCAGGTATCAGTAAATATATCCAACCAGCAGTGTGTTCATAGTGTAGAAAGTTTATGCTGAATGTAGAACACTGTAGCATAGCAAGCTTATACTATGCATTTACCCTAAAGAGTACTTGCAGTACACATGAATTAGTACAGCTTTAGCAGACACTTTCACTTTAACCACTAGCCTTCATTGGTGCAGCTTTGTTAGTTACAAGCTTCATCCTGTCATACTGGGAACAATGGAGAGGGGAGATAGCAAGATCAGAGTTGACATTTTTACTGTAAACACGTAGCCACAATTGCAGAACTTCAGTCACTTCTGGTATTCCCAGGGTGCAGGGTGGTTTGAGGGGACATTTTTAAAAACATGACCTTTAAAGCTGGAAAAAAAACCCCTTTGTTAAGAAGCAGTTGTCCTTTATAGTCAGGTCATGTGTTTGGAAAGTATGAGCTGCATACAAGTTCCAATCTTCTACACGTTTGCTTGGTTGTGACTTGAGTTGATCCCCTTTCTTTAGGGTGTAATGTCACATGTTACTTTGTAAGGAGAGCACGACACCAGTCTGGCAAGCTTAGTTTGTCATGTACTGCCAGATCTTATTATGCAGAGTTCCCAAGGAAGTATCTGGGTCCTTGGGGTTTTGTTGTTGTTGTTGGAAGAGGTGGATTTTTTCTTTTTTGTTTTGCTATTTTTACAGATTTGCACCTCTGTCGTGTACCTTACTTTTCTTGAAAGCCCAGTATAAAGACAAAATCTCTTGATACTCCTGGACAAAGTTAGGCTTTGGCAAAGTAAGTCTGGAATGAATGATACTGAGATGCCAGTTCAACACAAGGGTTTTGGTCAATTATGTTACTGCTTCGAAGACTGCCTGTGATTAGAGAAGCTAACATGAAATGAAGATCTCCTTATTTCCTTTCAACTGTTTCAGCATAAAAAGTTTTTCAGATCAAAACAGTCTCTATACAGCAATGGCATCTGTGCTTATGTCTCTACATACAAATAAATACAAGTGAAGACCCATATCAGTTCTTGGTGTATTTGTCTCGACTGCAGTGACATCCGTGGTCTTTGATCATGATGCATGGTGATACTCCTGTGTCCTGTCCCTCAAGCTGACACTTAATTCTTCCTTTAAGAAAATATGTTTACAAGCTACAACGTGTAGCTGATAAAATGGTAGCAATAGCATTTCTCGAATGCTGATGCAGAAAGAAACTAATGGCTTTACTGTGTAGAGAATCCTTGTATGAGGGCTAAGATGGGAATAAACTTAATTTTCCGTTTTGTTTTTTTGTTGGATGCTTTTTTACCCTTTCGTTAGGGAGAAACTGGCAGCTTTGAGGACAAGTCAAATTTATTTCCTTGGATTTGTTTTACAGCTGCTTTTTCAAAGAGTTAGCAAGAAAATAGGACCAGAACATAATGCCAAGCCATTTAATTTGGTTACCAGAGTATCTAGAATGGTTGGTGGCTTTTACTGTATTAAAGGATCTTAATCCTAAGTGCCAGTCACTTCTGAGGAGTTTCATGCAGCCTTTCAGGTGTATATCTCCTTGAAATCCTACTTATATTAACACTTTAAATATAACACTTGATGAAAAGGGGATGTGAAATGTTTATATTAGTCTTTATGTCTTGAATACTTGAGAAAGCTCTTGATGTACATCCTTAAATTGTCTTGTTTGCAGAGTTCAAGATCTGGCCCTTGATCTCACAACATAGTCCAGAAGTTTATGGATGAAGGTATTTTCTTGACAGTGAAGTCAAGAAGGGCTATTTTCCTGAAAACAGTTTACTGAGTCTCATGCTGTTTAACACCTTCATCAGTGATCAGGATAGTAGGACAGAAGATGCTCTCAGCAAGTTTGCAGATGACATCAAATTGATGGGAATGGTTGATACACTAGAGGGCAAGGCTGGGCTGTTGTTCAGATGGACCTCAGCAATCTGTAAGAATTGGCCAACAGGAACAACGTGCAAAGACAAATGTCAGGTCCTGCATCTGGAAGTAACGACCCTGTGCATCCACACGAGCTGACCACTGAGTGGCTGTGTAGTTAACTCTGCGGAAAAGAACCAGGGGGTCCTTGTGGACAGCAAGCTGAACATAAGTCAGTAATGCATCATAGGAGCAATGAAGGCTAGCCTCATCGTGGTGGTATTAGCAAGAACATAGCCAGCAGGCTGAGGGAAGTGATAATAATACCCTTATACTCAAGACTGGCAAGACCACATTTGAAATCCTGTGCCCAGTTTAGGGCAGTACAAGAAAGGTGGCAGCAAGCTGGAGGGAGTCCAGTGGAGGGGCACTGAGGTAGTTAGGGGGACAGAAAACATCTTGTTCAAGAAGAGGCTGAGGAACTGGATTTATTTAGTATGGTGAAGGCTGAGGGATCTACCTGCCATCTTCTACCTGCCACCTGAAGGGGATTATAGAGAAAATGAACTCAGATGCTTTTCAGAGGTGCACAGTGAAAGGGCAAGAGTCAGTTGTCAAGAGTTGCAGCTAAGGAAATTCCAGCTGTATATGAAGAAAATTGTTGATAATGAGAGCGGTTTATGGAATCTCCCATCCTTGTAGATACTTAAAACTTGGCAAGGTCCAAAGCCATGTATAGTCCAGCTTTGAAGTTAGCCCTGCTGAGAGCAGGAGGTTGAAGTAGGTGATGTTCAGAGGTTCCTTCAGACCTAAGTTTTTGTGTGAGTCTGTGATAGTCCCTGGGAACAATATCCCCCCCACAAATAAGTGATCTGGAGGAGGAAAGCTCTTACTATCTTGTGTTTCACTGATGTAGCGTTTGTGGGGAGAGATCAGCAAAATAGTTTTCTAGTGTGAACGGCACCCCTTTCTCAGGGAGGTGTTTTTCAGGGAATATATGATAAGCAAGTTGAAAAAACAAGTGGATGATGTATTTGGCATCAATTGATGGTCATCTGGCAGGGTTAGTTGGTGATAGATCTGCCTCCATAATTAAGGCAATAAACCATTTTTTTCATGAATGAGAAGCAGTAAAAATTCAGAGCAATTGGGAGCAGTACATAGAGTATGAGTAAGATTGCATTGGCAAAATGCCTTAAGTTTGAGCCTTGTGTTGCAAGAGGCAGTTGAGAAGTAATATGTTTTGACCCCTTTTCAGAAGCAAGGTTAAAGATGTAATACTCTGGGAACAAATGGAGTACAATACATTTCCTTTCCCCCACCTTCCCAGTATGTCAGTCTTGGCAGTGCTGTTTTTTCTGTCATGTTACTTAACATAAACAACAAATCCAGCTCTCTAATAGCAATCCAGATTGTATCAGTAGATTACCGCTGCTGCTTACAGTCCTTGAAAGCTATGGCCTAATCGCTTATCCTGTCTACTTTGTCTTTTTTTAATTGATCTGAATGAGTAGTCAATGTCAGAAAACCTGGAAAAATAGTAGTATTTCTTCTTCTCCTCTTTTGGCACTGTTTTTAGTGGTAATATGTATAAAGAAAACAGAAATTAAGTTCATTACAGACAATTGTATCTAATGTGAAGTTTTGCCTTTTCTCCCTCAGCACAGCCTATGTCCATATCCCTTTCTGTAATGACCTGTCCAATGGCTTCTATTGTTGATCTTCTCATTAATCTCCATGATCATCCCCTACTCAGTAATGTCTCCTTTTCTTCCCAAAAAATCAGCATATTTCTGGTTACAGAAAAAGAGTAAAACTTGTCAAACTAAAGATGTTTCCACACCATGTGCGTTGTCTCTTCCTGGTGCTATTCCCCTACCTCTTGCCTTCAAAACTGAAAATCAGTGTGTCTGACTTACGGTTATCCTTTTTCCTGGGAACAAACACAGTTAAACATAAAATCCTTCCATAAAGTTTTTGTTCGTTGTGTAAAAGCCTGAACAACCACTTCATTGTATTTGGGACTGTCTTTATCTCTTCTCAGATTGGCATCTTGAGAATTTTAGTGCTGACAGTTAATCAGCTTATTTGTATTCTGGTTTATTTTTATTATTTTGGGTTTGTTTGGTTTGGGTTTTTGTTTTGTTTTGTTTTTTAAGATCAGGTTACTGATAGAAATCTCTTGTCCATGCAGGGTAGAAGAATGGGTAGATGTTGGAGGCTAATTGACATTTTAATTACTAACTTACACCTCTTTTAGGAATCAACTAAACTGTAAAAAGGTATCCTTAAATCAGAGGAAAGTTGTGGTCAGATGACCTGGTCTGGAGACACAGAGCATTATTGCTTCTGATTACCCTCTTTTTTTTTTTTTTTTTTTAAGCTCCTCCTCGCTGCTGTCTATATTTCCCCCTTTGCACCCAACCCCCAGTCCACCAGTACAGAGGCATATGTAGTTGCTTTCAGTCTCCTATCAAAATCACCTGGGTTTAAGTTGACAGCAACAGGTTAGATGATGATGATATGTATGGCTTTGCAAGCAGGTTTCAGGGGGCAGTAGCTTGGGTGGGAGGAGGAATGGGAGAAGATGTTACGAGTCACAGGGGTCCATAACACCTTATGCTTGGCTCAGCTGAAGTCAGAAGCTTATCTGACTGTAGGCTATATGTCTGCCTGGGGAAACTAGTAGAGGCTAGGTCCAGTTCCCAGTCTATATGTAATTCATGTCTTTCCTGTATGGATGAGCCATTAGGCATGAAAAATGCTTTTTTTGTTGTTTTGAACAGATTATATGTGTGCTTAATCTAGAAAGCAGGTTTTCTAGGTCAACGAATTATTCTAAGAACAAGCATTAGGTTTAATTATGATCTACTTAGTCCTCTGCTGTGCAGAGACTGGAGTGTCTGTAGCCACCTCTTATCTCTTGTGCTATCTGTGCTGGTGTTCTTTCATGTTATAGCAGGTCTCTTCAAATTGGAGGCAGAAAGATTTAGTAGTTATTATCTACACTAGACTACAGCTCTTAAGTCTGTTTGGCTCTATGCCGAGTCTTATGCTAAGATCTAGACCTATGCAGGGATTTGAGCTCCTAACTTCCGTCAAACTTCAGTACCAGCTATGAGCACAAATGTTCCTACTGAAATTCAATTTGTGTTCTCTTAGATACAGAAGAACTGTCAAAGTTGCAGTGTTATAAATGTGCTCAGCTCTTACTTATGGTCAGTCTTTGATATATGCTTATTTTGAAGGAAGCTATGCAATATTGCCTGTACACAAGCGTATATGTTACATCTGTGAGCCCTAAAGGCTTGGTCTTGATCTTACAAATATTCCTCCTGTGATGGGGCAGGGGGAAGTGATTCAAATATTTTGATTGCTGATCTTCCACTGGTCAACTAGAGACATGACAGCTCTATTAGGGGGAAAACCTATAAAGAAAAGGTCTAATATTTTAAATAGATTATAAAAACTGTTTTATTTTTTTCTCTGCTAGATCCTGAAGCCTGCTTTAATTTGGAGGCTTTTAGCCTTGAGGTCAAGTCATCTTTGCTCTTGCCCAGAACTGTACAGCGCTGCTTCCTCACTAATCCTTTCTTGTGTATTACAGAAGGAAGTTTTACTGTTCACCTCAAAGGAATGTGTAGTTGGCATGTCTATAGGGTATCTGTGTTCTATTCCTTGAGTTGTTGTGAGATGCCATTGCTGGAGTCCATAGCTCCAAATTAGTGTAAGGACTTCTTGCCTCTTTTGGACATAACAGCTATTAGAGTCAGTAATAAAAACTTTAAAAAGATAAAAAATATTTTCCTCACTACTTTGTTTCTTAAAGCAGAGGGAGATTTATTCCCTTCCCCTCTCCCTTTTTTTCTATACCAAAATAGATAGGCGGATGAACTAAAATACTGGGATTTCTCTTCCTTCATCCACTCAAGCTCTGCTTTTTAAAAGCTCCCGCAGAATACTAGTTTGGCTGTCTTGATCCAGCTTTGCTTATCATGTGCTGTTGTCTTACAGATAGGATAGCATTATAAGCTTCCTATTTGTTAATTGATTTCCTTTTTAACTGTTGTCTTATGTTGCAGATGAAACCACTGCTGCCAAATGTAACACTGCTTGAGCAGTAAATGAAACTAGTGTATATGTCTAATACTGTGAGGATTTGTAATCTGTCCAGTAAAACTGTAAGTTGTGAGAGTTTCAGTATGCAGCTTACCACTAGCTGCATGAAATTCTAGTTTACACTAAGAGAATTTCCTTCCCCAGAAAAATCCGTAGAATGAGCAGTATAGGGACAAAGGAAAAAGTCTTTGGACTATTAAAATGTACAGTCTCAGGCTTGAAAGTAAAAATGTGTATCTATTTTCTGTGAAGCCCTTCTCAAGACTTTGTACAACCATGACTTTGGTAATCCAGTGCGAGGACCTGAGCACCATCCAGACAAATAAAATGAAATCTGCCAGTTGCCGCTGCAGTTTGTTTAACAACTGTGTGCCTGTGAGGAAAGTAATAGATTTATGAGTTCATGTTTTCCAACAAACTCCTGTTTTGGGGATTGGGGGGAAGATTGATTTGCACTCTTGCCAGAAAAGTCTTTGCCCCACCAATATGATATTGGCAAATGCCTAGTGCAGCTTTCTTGTGTACTATTTATAGTTCTCTGTGCTGTATAATAGTGATTCAATATTCACTCATGCAATTCTTACTTGTTACAAAAGTACAGAATTAAACAAGCAAGGATCTTTTTCTTTTTAAGGCACTGTTCACTTCTGAATTTTGTTCTTTTAAAGAGGAAGAAAAGCTACAAAGACCACGCAAGCTGCATGAAGAGCTTGTCTAAAGACCAAATGTAAATACGCAAACTAGTCTTTTAAGCTGGTATATTCCAAGTAATTATGGTCTCCTGAATTGATGTGGTTATAGAGTAATGAAGATGATTATTCAAGAAAGGACTTAGACATAGCTGTAGGATACTTTATATAAATAAAAGTATTTAAGCACTTCATGTACCACTGAGATATTTTAAGGCAATAAAGAAAATCACACCTCCAGTAGAAAATGTTTACTTTTGTACCAACTAGACTGCCTGTGATAGACCAGATGAAGCCCTGCACAAAGCAGTTGTGAAGAGAATCCAGTGGAAAACTTTTTAGCCCTGTCATGATGATAGTGAGGGAATAAATGCCCTTACCATGAAAGTTCCTGTAGTATGAAAAAGGCTTTGAATTCTTCTCAGGATAGGAAGAAGAAATGGTGCCATGGAGCATAGTTCAAAGGTCTAATTTCATTGCAATGAGGAATACAGTTATTTCTTCATTTCAGTATTGAAGATTATGTGAAAAAAGATAATTACTATTTTAAAGTTTGAAACTTTTTTGTCACAGTTTAAAAAGGAAATATATTTTGCTAAACAACATGACTGATTAGAACCCGGGAAGCTAAAGTAAGACTGTGTCTGTAATAGGTACTTCAAGTGACTTCAAGTATGGACTGCTGCCGGGTACTTCAAGTGACTTCAAGTATGGACTGCTGCCGGGTACTTCAAGTGACTTCAAGTACGGACTGCTGCCAGAATCTTGGCCAAAAGAAGCTTGGGAAAATGGCAAGTATATTTGTTGGAGAGGAGGTTGTTTTTTGCCTCTGAATGGGGTTCTTTATCTTCTGTGTTACTGCTGGTAATATTTGATTAATTTGTTTGGAGATTTATAAGATTAAGTGTTTACCTGATTTTCTTCCATATCATTTGCCTTTCTGGATAATGTAAATACAAGTACTTCCTTGGAGGGAGAAAAAGAAATTCAAATGTCTGGAAAAGTAAAACCAGAGCATGATTTATATCAGCTTTTGTATTGTGCCTGAATATGAAGACACCTGAGGTCTTTAATGATCTGATAGCTTCCCCCCCCCCCTTAGTAAGCTAACTACAGATAAATGGGCTTTGAAATTGAACACTTGGATGATGAAGATATGAAGTTAAATATGAAGTAGATTTCAGAGCATACTTGTCACTATTAAAAATAAAAACTTCATTGCTATAAAGGTTTTGAATTCAATGCAGCCATAACTAAAGTCCTCTTCAGTCAAACCTGTGTTATATAACCTACCCTTTTGCAGCTTATGTGCCTTTCTTCATAGTTCAAGCAAGCAATTATCTGTAATTATTTTTCTGTCTGAAAACATACCAAAAAACCCACCACATCTGAAATAATGCGTGCTAGATCCTTAAAATACATAAAGTTTTCAGTAAAAAGAGGATCTTAAGGACTGGGTAATAGTAATGCCTACCTCATCTCTGTAACTTGGAGCTATTACTGGGATGTGGTTTATGGTTTACTTTAAATATTTTGGTTTTTACAGTGGAAGAAATTGGCTCATCAGAAGGTGAAACTCACTAGCAGGCAAGGGATTAGAACTCAGGTTTTAGGAGGTCTGCCTGTTCTTAAACCATTAAATTCCCATATATCTTTACAGCCCTGATGTCTGCCTCTCTGTCATACCCCTGTCAATGTGTGTAAGACTGCAATTTAAAACCTTTTTTTGAACTTACTTTTCTTCATGTAAGCCATTACATGACATTATGTTGACAGGCAGCTTGCATGAGTGCTCCAGTATACCAAGGCAAACTTTTGAATATTGGCAAAATTTAACTTCCATGTTATGATGGATTTTGGAGCTGGGAGGAGGCATCTTAGATACAGGCATGCAGGCCCATGCACGTAACACAATTACTCTTGCTTTCTTCCTGCCAGCATGAACGTTAGAAACTCTTAACGTGTATAATCGTGTAGCCTTAGCCAGTGCTTTTTGGATGCTTCTAGATGGTTACGATCATGTTCATAAATTCTCTCACCCGTATTAAGTTGAGTCAGTACTCTATTCTCAAAATAATCCTTGTATTCCTGTGTGACCTTCTTCATAGCTGTCACAGCATCCTGTGCTTTTCTATTTCACACAGTAATAGGCAGCTGTAGTAAACCTGTTTTGCACGTATCCTTCGAGCAAGCTGTATTATCCGTGGTCCAAGGATATGTAAATAGCTCTCTTCCATCATAAGGAAGAAGTGGGATATTGCTATTTCCAGAAGTTTTTTTGTTCGCTTTATTTTTTCTACTGTTAGACCAAAATAGACTTTGGGTAGAGAATAGCTAAGATCTGAACCAGAAACTTCCCTTTTTAGCTATTTTGGAATTATGCTACCTCTTACTGTCCTACTCCTTTTGTCAATATTTGTTCTTGCTTAGTTATACTTTCTTTTTTTATTTATTTGTAGAGTCAGATCTTGGCAGGCAGTTCCCGCACATAATTCTAAAGAGACTATTGGGAGAGGAGATTGTAACTGTCTAAATGCCGCAGAGCTAGAGGGTTTCTAATCCAGAATAAAGTGTTTTCTGGTATAGGTGACCTCTAGAAAATAAATACTGCTAACTTGTAGCTAACTTACTGTGATTCATGAAATAAGACTTCTTTTCAAAGAATTGATCTGTACTTCTGCAGTAGAAATTCCTTGGTTGCAAGTAGGTATTTTTTCTAGCAAGATCATACATGCAGAACCTACCAGTATTTGTGGTTTCTGCAGGCAGGCACTGTCCTGATTTGGCTGATGAAAAGTCATGTGGGTGCTTTATTGTTTTGGCACCTGTTTATTTTTGTGCACCAGGCAGAACGTAATTGAAATAGGTTTTTTGTGTTTTATCATCTTTTCTCCTGATGGCTTATTTTCTTGTAGGCGATTCCTCTGCTTTAATCATGAACAAGTTGAAGTGTCCACACTGTAATTATGTAGCCAAATACAGAAGAACACTAAAGAGACACTTGCTCATTCACACAGGCGTGAGATCTTTCAGTTGTGACATCTGTGGGAAGCTGTTTACTCGAAGAGAGCATGTAAAGAGACATTCCTTGGTAGGTAACGTCAAGAGTGAGTGTGTGTGTATGTACGCACATGTACGAGTGGGTTTTATGTTTTTTTCAGATGTTTTGGTAGTTGAGAGAAACACTGTTCTCTGATTTGCCATGATGTAAATTCTTTTATCTCAATCTAAAACGGATGGAGATAAACATCTCCTTGTGATAACTATACCTTTTATATTCTTAATGGAAAATGCAGTATCAATTGTCGCTGGAATTCTGATAGTTTCAAGATGATTTTGAAAGTGACATGATAAAGAGATGCAATATATGTAAGTATTCTGTAGATAATGAAAGGGAATTTTTGGCTTGGTGTTACTGCAACAGAATAGCACATCTTCTTGTTCTATAATGCTGCATCACCATTTTCTGTGAGGACACCCTGTTAATCAGCAATTGCATAATATCTTGGGATAGTTCCGAAATACATACTTTACAACTAGACAAAGCTATAGCATAGTATCTGGTTTAAGATGTAGGAAAGAATGAAGAATATCTGAGATGTAGAAAGTAAATGTCCTTCTGACTTGCATTCTACCAATACCATAATCAGTAGTTGAGCTTACCCTGTCCTGTGCATGTTGCATAACTCAGGATTTGACTTCAGTACTGTTTATCTGAGGATCCAGAGAAAGTATTATCTGTCTTGGGTATTTTGCAGGTTCTTTTTGTCTGGTCCGTAAGGAAATTAAGACTTCATTATAATATTTACTGTGTAAAATCCAAGGTCTGTTTTAGGGGAGTAGTAAAAGCAAGATCATATTGGTGGTGGTAAGGTAATAACATTTCTCCAAGGTGTGATTTTAAAAAAACTCATTTTGCAACATGTTTTGCAGATACTCAGAATAGGTTAGGACATGGAATGGGGTAAATCGCACTTCTCCATTTTGGTAGTTTTCCTCAGTCCTTTCAGAATCAGTGGACCACCTTGCTCCCTCATGAAGCTGTCCATAACTCTCCATAGCCTCCTTGCAGTTGGCTTTTTGTTCCTCAGGGAGTAGAAAAAGTGGTTGTGAGCTTCCAAGTTTTAATGTGGATGCAGAAAAGAGCTTTTGGTGTAAGTCTTCCTAACTTTCCTTTCTAGCTTGCACTATCATGACATGGACTTTCTGTTAGCCAGTAATATTATTACAAATAAATAATAACCTGAGTCATATCAGGATATAATTCTAGAAAATATTTGTAAGACCACTGTAGTAATTTTAAGTATTCCTTAAACTGCTCTACAGGTAGGAAAGGCATATGTTAATAGCTCCTCCATAAATTTTAGAACCAGCATCTTTCTTATATTGCATTGGACTTCTCTCATCTTAGATACACATCTTTCCACCCTGCTACTGCTGCCTTTCTTCCTCCTCCCATACCAGCTGGTGAAGGCTTAGCTGCCTGAAGGGACAGGAGAACCTGCGATGTTACCGAGTCTAAAGGACATTTTGCTCTGTAGTGTATGCAGATGACTGCGGTACAGGACAGCTCTGTGGCTGGGCAGAGGAGGCGAGGTCATTGTCACTTTATGGGTGATGACACCATCTAACACATCCCAGCAGCTGCTCTACTTCTTCCTTTGTGGCTCACCAGAGAAGATAACAACAGCGGGCGGTAGTCGGTCTACCAGCAAGAGCAGAGTGGGGCTTCAGGTTTCTGTCCTGTAGTATCTGATCAGGTCTTGTAGCTGAAGATTTTTTTTCACTCCAGGAAAGGAGTTGAAGTCAGACAGGGTGAAAACAGCTACAGAGTGAGCTCAGCCCAGCCCTGTGCTTTAACTGAAGTGTGCTCTCCCTGATGGAGTCAAAATACCTTCTTCTTTTTTTTTTTTTCCTTCCCTCTCTCCCCTCTCCATTCAACAAACACCTCAAACATTTTGATTACTGTGAAAGATTATCACAGCAAGTCTAGAAGCTGAGGAAAAAACATGTAGTATCAGCTGTACAGATTATGTAGTGGGACTAAAGTTAACTATTTGTATCTTGACCTTGTTTTTTTCCCTCATCTGGGTGGTAATTTCAGTTTTATCTAAAATGGCAACTTTTTCAATGTGACCTCAAATGAGATGTTTAAGCACATAGTTGTAACCTGTTGTGGGGACACCAGATAGAAGAAAGAAGTCTTGAACTTATTTTTTTCCACGATAACTATTCTATATGGTTGCTGAATTCAGTTACAAGTAACATACTCCCGAATTCAAAATTAAAATTTATGTTTAGTCAAGTTAGTCAACAGCAGCCTTCTAATTTTACACACAAGCTCACTCTACATACAGGACAAAAAATTCACCAAAGGGACCTGGAAAGATGATGTTGGCTTTGGTTGTGTTGGGAGGGAGGTGTCGTGGAAGAACACACTCTTTGAATTCACACAGAATTTAATAACTCCTGCTTGTTCTTAATGTTTCTAGCACCTAAAACTGTAAAGACAATTTTCTAAATGAGATATGATCCTGTGTGCAACGTAAGTCCTGACGCAGTTCTGATTGGCTTTCAGAGCCTTGTTCTGTACAGTGAGTAGTCGTAAAATGAACAGTCACCTGCTTACGGAACAGGCAGCTATTCAGCTGCTTGCAAAAAAAAGAACAGCAAGCAGGTGGTTTGGTTGTGGGCAATAGCTCCTGTAGTCAAAATGGATCTCTAGTAGTACTTCTCTTTCTCTGAACAGTGTTGGGGTATCTTTTGGAAGAGGTCAAAAAATGAATTTTTGTATTAGTAATTATTAATAGTTTTCTAGTACTATATGCAAATGCAACCTGATTCGCATATTTTTCAGTTGTTAACATTTCTCTTCCATAGGTGCATAAAAAGGATAAAAAGTATAAATGTATGGTGTGTAAGAAGATTTTCATGCTAGCAGCCAGCGTTGGAATAAGACATGGATCACGACGTTACGGAGTTTGTGTAGACTGTGCAGATAAATCTCAGCCTGGAGGGCAAGAGGGAGCAGACCAGGTGCAGGATACAGATTTCCCTAGGGATGAAGAATACGAGGAAAATGAAGTGGGAGAAGGTGATGAGGAGCTTGGTGATGATGTAGAAGAACATAATGACCAGTCTCGATGGGATGAATCTGGGGAAGTTTGTATGCCTTTAGATGACTGACAGAGCATATGACTTCAGGGTGCCGCAAATGGACACTATATGGATTGACTATTTGAAGTTCTGGACTGAAGGCTTGCGAAATATGGTACAGGCTGGATGGTAGTTATGTTGCTGTGAAAAATGTAGGGTCAAAGCCTTATAGCAAAAAAGGATTATTAATTTTTTTATGATATTTGCACAGGACTGTACAGCATACAACCATTTGGTTGAATTATACAGAGTCCTCACATCTACAGTCACTTATCAAAAGAAAAATGTATTTTTTATTATTTATAGGATATAGCTACTTGGGTCCTATTCAGACATAGTAGTAACTGTACTTATGTTACACATTCATGTATCTGTTAACATGAATGAAGAAAATTGCAACTTGGTATGGAAATACAAAGACAGCTTTTCCCAAATCCAGTCGTACTTTGTCAGTGAACCAGTGAAGCTAATTTGGGCTAGTGGCTTTGTTTCCACAAGCATGTCTTTGCCATACAAACCTTACCTCTCCCGTACTCTGATAGGTGAAAGCCAATCATTTAAATATGCATCACAGATAATGCCAACACCGTATTGAAATTTGGTTTTAAAACTTTTGGCTCTATGCTGGCAGGTGGTATAGGCGATAAGCACTGGAGAAGTTGATAATGGCATTAATTTAGCGTCTGTTTCTTCACAGTTTTGAATTTTCAAGAACATTGTTATTGATTCATCAGTTCCAAAATGATCTTGCAGAAGAAATGACCAATAATGAAAATAATAGACTGATCAGAGCATGGGTAGCTCTTCTGCCAATTAGTCAAAAGAGATAGTCATGCTAAAAGGTATCTGATGTAATAATGTTTCCTCCCTCCTCTAAGGCCCCCCTCTTCTCAAACTTTTTGACTTCCCTGGTGTATACCTCAGTCCCACAGAATAAAAATACAAGGAATGGAGAAAGTGTCATATTAAACAACTCTTTGGTTGGTAATTTCTTACTTGTCCGGTTTTTGGCTAGTTTATGTGATGTGAATTGGACACTAGGCTATTGTGCCCATCGTTCGTCATTAAAATGAACACAAACTATTTTTTATTCTTTTGTACTTAATGGGTTGTTGCTAGTGTTTAATATAAACCAATTGCATTTAAATTGTTGACTTAATTTGCTGGATTTTTTTTTAAAGAAAAACAAAAAGTCCAAAGCAAAATAATGCTCTTTGAGTTGTCTACTTTTCAGGATGATATGCTCCCTACACTCTTTATTTCAAATTTTCTAGGAGGCATTGAAACTTGAATTTTTGTAGCCATGTGGGGTTTTTTTCCTAAGCTTGTAATATTGTACCAGTGATTTCAGGCCTCTTTCATAGGGAGGGGAGGGCATTACACCTTCATCTTAAACTCCTCTGTGTTGTCTAGCCTAAGGCAAATTAATTCAGGCAATCATTGGAACAATACATCTGATGTACTATTATGTCACGACGAGTAAATATGCAGAGCATTTATCTTGACACATAGCTAGGCCAGTGTGACAGTACTGTATAAAAACCAATTGAGGGTCACCATATTTTTCAGCTTTGTTTAATTTTAAAATGAGTATATTTTTTCCTATTTTATATCAGGTAATTAAATTATGCTAGTTGTGTGGATTAACTTTGAACTATGCTTTGACGGACAGAATCTTAATGGTGCTCCATCTGATCAAAGTTGGTATGTATTTAAAGAGACAAGCTTTACTGTTGTCCTTTACATCAGTAGAACAGTAACATAATGTTAAGACATTGTTTTTGCTGATTGAAGCTGAGATAAGTTTGAACTACAGTTACATGGGAATTAAAATGCTTTTTTTTATCATCCAGTTGTTTCATTGGTAGTTTCCACATCATTGTAAACCTGACAGATGATTAGTTTTTTGGGGGAGGGTGGGGTGCCTTTTTTTTTTTTTTTTTTTTTTTACACTGAAGAATACATCTTATTCTCATTGTTCTAGACTGAAATGAGTAATGTGTAATTCTGGTGGGGTCCAAAGTAGAAATTAGTTGGGCAAAGATGATATGAATGAAAAAGTATTTTAAACGTTAAAGTAATGTTCTGCTTTGTGAATATGTAAGTATAGCATAAAGATTTTTCCATCCCATTTATCCCCTTTAAAACCATAGTTTACAATTGGTAGATCTGTCTATATATATAAATATATATATATATATATCTGAAATTCACCTAGATCTGCTTTATTAGAATACTGCTCACTTAATGCTTAGAAACTGGACCTGGCTCTACATTCTTAATGTATTTTTCCCTTTTTTTTGTTTTGTTTTTTGTTTTTGTTTTTTCCTCAAGGTATGAACTTATTCTCTTGGAACTGAATCTTCTTTTACTACTTAAATCATTTATGTATATCTGGTAAATTATGACCAAATTTGTTGTTAGACTGCATACAGTAAATTGAAATATACACTTGGTACACTACAGAATTGTTGTGCTTTTGTTCTGGTTATATTTGGAAAAGCAGGCTTTAATAGAAATTAGTGTTATTTATAAATATTCAGTTATTATTCACTGGCCTTAATATTCTGTTGCATTGTGACAATCATTATTTCCTTGGTAATACTTAACTGCTTGCTTTTAGAAGTGGCATGTAATTGCCCTTGGTAGGATTGGAGGGAGAGGGATGACTACTGAAATGTGATACTAGCTCTTCAGCAAATGATGTGAAATAGTTTAATGGAGATTCACCGTTCTTGTGTTGGAGAACCAAAAGAACTTGTTTGGATGCTATCTACAGTCTGGATTTTCTGAGCTGTTTATTCAGAAGCTATTTTAAATATATTACTTTGATTGGGGAGCTCTAAATTAATAACAGTAAATTTCCTAAGAATTACCTTAAAAGGGACAGCTCAAGTTTCGTCACTATCATAAAAAGTAGGAAGAGATTTCTGTTTGCGCTAGAAATTGTCTTCCCCTTAAGAAATGCTGGAGCTATGCTGTAGTAACATGGCAGTGAATCTAAGTTTGGTTTGGGTTTTTTTTTTTTCCTTTTTAAAAGAAGAAAGACGAATGCCCTTAAACGGTCTTCCTTATCAAATTAATAGATACCTAGTCTTTCATTTTGTCTTCTAATTAAATACTTCCCAAACAAAACGTCTGAGACTTGCTTATTTGGGCAATGCCACACTAGTAGTTTTATGAAGAAAATCATGTATATTTTAAAAACAGACAAGCACAGAGTTCTGATGTTGGGATTCCCCCCCCTTTCTGTGGGTTTTTGTCTGCTTTCTGGCCTCTTCAAGCAGTGGCGGTTATCTTTTAGAAATAAACACACAGAGCACTTTCTGGCAGGGAACTGTGATGCAGGGCAAAACGAAATCAGTCAGTAAATTCACTTTGATTAGAAGTCCCTGTCAAAGTAGGTGTGATGTAAGGAAGATAGACAAGGTAAAATGTGTTTGTCTTACGCCAATGTTACTACAGTGCAATAGCAAGCATTTTTCAGCTGTAATGCCCAATGCATCTTGCAGGAAAAATGGCAATTTTTTTCAGTTCTGTAGAAAATTTTCATAATTCAGTTTGCAAACAGATCTTCTAGTAAAATCATTTTCTGAAGTGAAGCCAGTTTTGAAAGCCAGAAATGATACTTGGTTGTCAACACAATGATGCACCCTAAGAAGTAAGAGTTGAAATTACTGGTCCCCATAGCATACCCTGTTACTTTTTGAGATGCGTATAATTCTGCAAATATACGGTTTTCAGGTATTGCTACATGCACCCCTTCCTTTCTGAAAAATAATAAGCATTATCAGGTGAAGAAAAGTTTGGGGCCAGGACACTGGCATGTGGTAGGCTTCTAGTTGTGGGTCACAGCAGTAATGCTGTTAGCAGAAGATGCTTTCTTTGCCTAGCTTTAAATTGTTAAGGCTTTTAATAGGATTTTCTTTAATGAGGCCAATCTCTGTGGTTTGCTTGCTTTAAGTTTTGTTTCACTTGACTTTTCCTGTTCTTGCCACTCAGTAACACAAGTCTCCCACCTGTTCTAAAATATTTCTGTAGTCTGCTGACTCCACACGTATGCAGAATGCACTTTGCAAGAACTGTACCTTATTGGCTGTTCCTTTGTACTTTGTTGTAGTTAAATGCCTTTGGAAACTAATAAGAGAACTGAAAGCAAGATAATTGACACCATCAGCAGCCCGAAAAACTTGTGCCAAAAGAAAGTGAAAAAGGAGAAAAATGTTGAATGCAATATGATAAGAAAAAGGCTTTTGGATTTGAGTTGTTACAATTCCTTTAGTTTGCTATTTGAATGTTTTGGACAATTCACTGTATTTCTCTCTAGCACAATTTGGTGACAACCTTCTGATGAAGAAGCTATGCAAGAAGCCCAGTTTTGAGTTTACTCGGTGTCTCCAGATGTGGTTCAGGCTCCACAGAGGTAGTACCACTGAGTAGTTTTCTGTAGATATTTTACCATATACCCTTCTGTTAGCATCCCTCTTCACTATGTAATGTTATCCATTTTTTATTTGATAAATGTTTTATTTGAAAAATGCTCCTTAGAACTGAGGTTTGCCTTTTATATGTTTTAATAGCACATCACTGTGTTACACTAAACAATGTGGTAAAGGTTAAATATTGACACAATGGATAAAAAGAAATAAGTTGGGATTTATATGGTATCCTTTAACAAACCTGTAACAAGTCTTTTTTTAATAAAGAAAATACAGGTTTGAAAGCCGGGGCAGGGGAATTGCTGAGCTGAACCCTTTGAGATGTTGAAGATCACACATATAATTCAGTATGGGTTTTTAAAGTACTTTTATGTGAAAAAAGGTAAATATATACTAGAAGGATCCTGTGACTTAAACTGGAAAATAAAATTGGCTTAACAAGTACTTTGTATTTAACATTATTGCAATTTGAAGTGAATGTTTAAAATAAGCTACACCTAGTGTTTTGCTTACCTGAATTGATTTGGATTAGCCGCTTCCGAATACAGACATAAGTAATTTCTCACGTATTGGTATGTAAACATAATTTCAAGACTTCTAATACTGTGTGCACCAGTCTTTAAGTTACCATACTGCAAATAAATTCAGAAAATAACTATTTCATCCTATCTATTTTTATCTGTGCCCTGCCTCCTCACCCTCCACAAGGAGATGCAGAGAGATTTCTGTGGATGGATAAGTGTTAACATACAATCATTTGCTGCAAATGACTTAATTTCTGCTTCTGACATAGAATAGAATTTATAGAAAATAGAATTTATATTAAGGTTGTATTTTAAACTTAGCTCATAATAAGGCAGATCACTTTAAGATAACTAGTTTCCAAAAACCAGCATCCCAGATAAGATGTGTATATCTAAAACTGGATTTTAGACAAACTTCAGTGCAACATTGAGCAGATTACTTAAGGCATACTTTAGACACAGTCTAGCGCCTACCAGAAGGATTGGATCTCCTCAGAAATGCAGCTGTACTGTGTCTGCCCCAAACCTTTGCCTTGGTGTTTTGTTCCCTCTCTCCAGCCCCACCAACCTGAGATGTTTGGAAAAAGTGTTTTCACCTGGGTTTCTCAAAAGCTACGTGGCTGAATAATGCTGGATGTGTGTTTGAACTGATCCGTTGGCTTCTGTTATTTTCCTAAATGAGTGTTATTTTTGGTAGGTTAAGCACAAGTGGGTTCCTTCAGTTAAAAAATGATCAGCCTTCTGTCAGTTCTTTCAAGGACTTGAAAACTTCAAAATTTTCTCTTTGCCCTGTAGAGAAAATTTTAGGTTCCGTATCCTGGATAGGCAAGTCTGCTTGTACGTCTTGACTTAGATACTAGGGGTTTCTGAAGGCTAAGGCCTCTGTCTGATTAGCTTTTCCTATTAGCTGGCTTTCCACAGCCTTCTATCCGATATGTAGGTGAAGTGCATAAGAGAATTGTCTTGTGAGGGACAACAGCTGTGGTTGTGGGAAAGCCTGGAAGATAACTT